TCCTGTTACTCCTCTCTGCCCCTTCCCAGGCAGCCCCCTCCCTGAACGGGGGCTCCTCCATCAGACCTGGAGCTGCTATGGCCCTTTGCCAGCGCGGCCGGCGGGTAGCATCCGCAGCAGTGAGGACCACGTACGACAGCCCCCTGCACACTGGCCAGCCCCTCTGGGGGCTTTGGAGTGGCAGACACAGGTCTCCTGGCAGGTCGGGGTTTGGAGAGCCCAGCAGAGAGTGGGTAGGGCTGGCAGGGGAAGCCCAGCCCAACTTGGCATGGCCTCCCTTCCCCACCAGGGCCACCACCACCAGCATGGGGGACACAGCAGGGTGCTGACCTGCCAAATCGCAGCCGTGGCTTTGGATGGGATCACTCTCCTAGTCCTGTTTTTGGAGTAATTGGCAGGGGGATCAGCAGTGGCATACGGGTTACATTTGCAGAGCTGTCTGAGGGATTTAGACACATGCTGTCCACTCCAGTGAATGCACGGACCTTGTCTCTCCACCTGTGGAAAGCTTTGAAAATCACCCTCTTGGTCCTCGCAGGAATTCACACAGCTCTTGGGTTACAGGGCATTTCCAGAAGTGAATATACAACCCCTCTAAGCTCAAAATGGGGTTTCCACAGTGTGTCAAGCTGTTGGCATTAAGCTGCATTGTTGCTAAGGCTGCGGGTTTTTTCCTGCCACTACAGGCTCTGAGGACTGCTCCAGAAACTTCACTGCCTCCAACGGCACTATCGAGTCTCCAGGTTTCCCTGACAAGTATCCACACAACCTGGACTGCGTCTTCACCATCATAGCCAAGCCAAAGACAGAAATCCTCCTCCACTTCTTGCTCTTCGACCTCGAGCACGACCCGCTGCAGGCAGGGGAAGGAGACTGCAAGTACGACTGGCTGGACATCTGGGACGGCATCCCTCAGGGTAAGCCATGGGGTGCTGCACTGCTATCCTCAGCCTCTCTTGGTGTCTCACAAAGCTCCAAAACTGTGCAGTCTGTGTCTGGACACCAAAGGTGCCTAACCTCAGACGTGGCTGCAGCATGCAGCCTGCCATCGGGGTGCTCCATGGCCAGCTGAGAGGACGGTGCACTTGCAGAAGGCTGCATGCATTAAACCCCAAACTACTGCTCTGTTGTAACCACTGATCTGAAAAGCCCCATGCGACAGTCCGAGATACCACCGGTCCTCCCTCAGGGAAGGGCAGTGCGTTCATGCAGTGCTGGGAGGACCTCCCTACTGTGTACCAACACTGAGAAACAGAGCAGATTGGAGCATTTCCCAGCAACTGCAGAGCAATGCCTGCTGCAGCGGATATTTCTGCATGGCACCGGGCCAGCAGATACAAAAAATAGCCCACCCCCAAAGCCTTTCTTTTATCCTGATCAGTTCCGCTAAGGCATCCCTGCTGAGTGATGCCAACCTGCTGGTGACCCAGGAGGCTGGTGGAAAAGCAGGCATTACTTTGCTGCTCTTTCTTTTGCAGTCGGCCCCTTGATAGGCAGGTACTGTGGCACTAAGATGCCATCAGACATCCGTTCAACCACCGGCGTCCTCTCACTCACCTTCCACACAGACCTGGCAGTGGCTAAAGATGGTTTCTCTGCTCAGTACTACTTGATCCAGCAGGAAGTCCCAGAAAGTAAGTTGGAAATGTGTGTGTATGGCTTTAGGCAGTCGTGTCACCTGTTTTCCCCAAGTCTTTCACTTGGCACATGCGAGAGTGAGGCAGGCAGGAGTGTGTCCAGGGGCTCGTCCCTCACTGGCAATGCAGACAGCAGTTACACTAGGTGTGTTCTTTGTTTTTCATAGAAGTGAGATTTCAGTAAGAATCACGCTTTGTGACCTTTCTTTGACTTTTCACTTGCTTGTGAACTTTCTCAATACCTTTTGGCATAGATTCCTTCATGTATGTGCTCAGCCCAAAGGATTTAGGGGAAGACTTCAGCCCAGCGGGTGCAGCAGATTCATTAAAGCATGGGGGGAAATACTCTCTCCCTTTCTCTGGTTTTCCAAAAATTCACAGCCCCGAACTACAAATTGGAATTTCTTGGCTGTCTAATTAAAAAACGCCTAAAGCTCTAAGAATTTCAAACAAAAATTTGTTTTAGATCCCTTATTAAGGGAGGCAAATTGATGTGGAGTGAGGAAGTTACGTTGTGTGTTTTGAGAATTAAGAGCATTTTGATTCTTTTTGATAATGCTTGCAGGCGAGAAAAGATTCAGTTTGTTTTCCCATGGTATTTTTACATCAGAGCTACAGTTCTTGACCTCTGTTAGCAGTGAACCTGTGATACAACAGAATAAGCCTTCAGGACACCCCTCAGTCCCAGAGAAAGAGAGGGGGTCCCTGACCTGACACTGAAAGCCCATGACGGAGAGCAGGGTAGAGTAGGAGTTGTGCAGCGCTAGGGCAGCTGGGTTACAGGCTCTTGCTCTGTGATTGAGTCAGGGATGTTCTGCTGAGACTGTGAGAGTTACAACAAGCATGAGCTCTTCACCATTACCTATAACCACACTCAGCTGATCTGTTCTTTAATCCCATTTCTATTTGGTTCTTTAAAAGGATTGGGAAATAAAATATTAATGACACAGAAAGCTTGAGACATCAAGCACAAGAGCTGTTAAAGGGCCAGGCCTGTTTTGATTTATGCTGGTGTAAAATTGAAACTTTAATGATACCACTGAGATCTTAACTTGGCCCATCATTTCCAGCCGGGGTTGACTTGGCCACATTAAAAACACAGGCAGTTTGGTGGAGCCCCATTGGTTTACAGCAGCGGCACGCTTGGGCCCATGTGGTATTTCTTATCAATGTTTTCTTTGCTGTTGTTTTTACAGGATAGCTGACATAAAATATATGAGATGTGCACTAAGATTGAGCTAATTGTGACTTCTAAAGCCTTAGAAGTGAGGAAACCCAAATGAAAGCATATGAGTCTTTCATATTCTTGGCTGGTTAATTCCTGTGGGCCTGATATCACATATAGCGCATGCACATATACACAGACACATACACACAGGCATCCGTACTCTCACATGCACACAAAACTTTTAGACTTTCCCATTCCAGGCCTTGATGTTCCTGCCAGCAGCACAGCAGTAAGCACCCTCCCATTGTGCCTGCCCATACTGCTTGCCTTGTCAGTGCTTAGATTTCACCTCCAGCCTTCAAGAAGACAGGGAACTTTGTGGCAAGGGGACTTGGGACATCTTGATGGAGATGGAGGGAGGGAAGGGGCAGAATTGTGTCAAAACTGCAAAGGTGAAGGAGATAGAGAAAGGGAGAAAGATCTGGACCATATTAGATTTCAGAGGGCCATAAAGCTGCCCCATCTTTAATTTTGCAGTGCCATCTGTGAGCACACACAACCTGCAAGATGGTGCAGATCTGTTCATCTTTCCAGGCAGGCAGCTTTGCTTGGGGTTAGCTGGGGAGGATAGTTCAGGGCTGCCTTCCACTTGGGAGTGAAGTACAGAGACTGTAAGCTGATCTCTGTGTGTGCGTGTGTGTGTCCGCTTCAGACTTCCAGTGCAATGTGCCGCTGGGGATGGAGTCTGGCAGGATCTCCAACATGCAGATCACTGCCTCCTCCACCTACTCAGATGGGCGATGGACCCCTCAACAGAGCCGGCTCAACAGTGATGACAACGGCTGGACCCCCAATGTAGACAGCAACAAAGAGTACCTCCAGGTACGCATGCCTTCCAGCCCCCTTGCCTCTTCCCCCACCAAAGGGAGTGTCATGCTGTTAAACTGACCCTTGACCATAAGGCTTGTTGAATTTTTTATTGCCTCTGTGGCTATGGAGAGTGAGCAGCAGGGGAGCTGGAGTGCCTCTGTGAAACGTGACAGGCTGGCTCTCCCATTAGCATGCCTGCACGAGGGCTGACTCGACCCGCTGTCCCTCTCCTACTCCCTCCTTCCTGCCCAAAACCTGGATGGACTTGCCAGCATACTGGCAGAGACTGAGGGACCTCTGCCACTTACAAGGGCCACTGACTCCACCACTGGCCTGAGGAACAAAGTCTCCAGGAGGCACGTGGAAAAACAACTAGAATAATATTTATCTCATCAGTGATGCAGGAAGCATGAGCAGGCTAACGTCAGGTAGGGGGCTGACAGAGCAAAGGCTTTCCCTGGGAGCTGGTTAGACCCACAGTCTCTGTCTGCACAGGGCTTCTGGCTTTGTCACATTGCCGTGAGACACTGCTTGCTAAAGGGCACTAGGAACGGGAGGTGGTGAATGTCATTGCCTCTAGCAGACGTCTCATTCTTCATTTGTGGCAGTGCTACCAAGCCAGCTCTGCTGACCTTTCTCAACCCACATTGTAAAAAAAATTTAAAAAAAGAGCAAGGGAAAACCAGGAACTGCAGCACTTGCTAATTGGACATCATGCTTTTATTTTACATGGAAAAAGTCAGCCTTTGTCCTGCTTTAATGGACATGAGCTTCAGTGCAGATCCCGTTGCTTGGTCTGAGGCAGGAAGAAGGCTTTGTGATGGTCGCATATGGACAGACATCAAGATCCTTAGTTACTCTTGTCCCATGGTCCTATCTGCAAGCATCCCTGCAGTCATATCTGCAAGCATCTTGCTGAAGTCAGCCCGGGGGGATTGTGCCTGTTGAAATGTGCACCCACAGATGGCATGAGACAGACTGAATTCACACCTTTTCATGTTTCAAAGACAGAGCGAGGAACTAACTAGCCAACCTGGGCTCTCAGGTGGTCACCATTCTCTCTCTTGTCCCTTTCTCCCCTGGAAAGGTGGACCTCCACTTCCTTACTGTGCTCACAGCCATTGCCACACAGGGTGCCATCTCCAGAGAAACCCAGAATGGCTACTATGTCCGTACCTACAAGCTGGAGGTCAGCACCAATGGGGAGGACTGGATGATGTACCGACATGGGAAAAACCACAAGGTAAAGGCCTTTTTGTCTCTTTTGCATGCACCTTGGTGAGTCTTGCAGCTGATGGGAGGGAATAGAACAGAGAGACTTTACAGGCCTGGAGGGTTTAATCTGTGAGGGACCCTTTTTCTGATGAGGGCTAAAAGACTGATTATGCTCTGAGTCCTTTCTCCTCTGCACAGCAATGAGGAAACACTATTCCTTGGAAAACCTGGCCGCTGTTGCATCTTTCGTGGTGGGGAGAGTATGTTATTTGACTGCAAATGAAGGAGAAAATGCTTTCACAGTCTGTGTTTTGCCATACAAGATTCATTGAGCTTTTATGGCCATAGCCCCGTCTGCATGCTGGGTTAACAATCACAAAACCACATGAAACTGTAGTTCAGGAGTTATTGAGGCCTGGAAATGAAAGGGCACAAATCCTAAGAGGGGATCGCACCATCCCAGAGAACAAAATGAACAATAAATAATGAGGAGCAATTCAGGCTGCCGGAGCTGTGGGATCTGCGCTCGCAGATCAGCGCGGTCAGGAAGGATTCATTGAGCCCTGGGAGCTGCTGCATGCTCTCACCATGTTTCTGGGAGGCACACAGAGATGGAAGCGAGGGGGAGGGAGAGTAAATGTGGGTGTTCAGCCCTTCCAAGCTTTGCGGGTGCTGCTGCGTGGCCAGGCGAGGCAAGCTTGAGGTGGTCCACACGGAAGCTTTGGTGTATGGGGAGGGGGTTTAAGGCAGCCATGGTGCCGGGCTGGTCCTGCTCTGTCACTTGCCTTGGTTCTGTGGTTGTCGCCTGGTTAAGGGCAACTCAGGAAAGCCCTTCTCTGCTCTTCTGTGGTGTCCACCAGCACTGCTGCCGTGGCTCAGGTCCTCCCCATTGATGTGCCATGATCTGTCTGCGTGAACTCAGTGGCTGGGGTCCCACACACCTCCCCCTGCGTGCATGTCCCAGCAATTTCTGCTTGCTCAGCGCTTCTGTTAAATTAGCTGTCCCCTCCCTTTGCTGGCACAGGCGCCGCTGGCATGAAATGCAGTAGCCTGCCTTGTCCAGGATTCATCCAGACATTTCCTTCCCTTCCAGGCCGTGTGATTTCCCCTTCCCCACAAGTGTGTCTCACAGTTCAAATTCACTCTGCTTCCCAGAATAAGTCCTCTCTGTGCAGAGGCCCCTAGCAGGGTCTCATACCTCCAATATTTGGTGTATTTAAGCTCCTCGCATGCCAGTGAGGTGGTGTTAGTCCTATTTTAGAGGTAGGGAAATGGAGGCAGAGAGCAGCCCAGCACCCCATAGGAGAGTCAGCAGCCGGGCTCCCCCAGACCTCAGGCAGGCTGGCTCCGGGGCCACAGCTAATGACAGAGGTCAGGTGTAACCCTAACACGGTGGCCGTGCACTGGTGCGGAGGCTCTGTGCTCTCTCAGGACCCACTGGCGGCAGCAGACCTTTCTGTGAACCAGGGCTGTCTCTCCTCACCCTGGGCACCCCGTGGAAACGGGTGAGTTTGAAGTCTCGCTGGTACCATTTCTGCAAGCCAAGGGAGATGGGAGATTGGCAACACGCCAGGCAGGAGATGGACTAAATACACAGTTCAGTGTTTCAAATAACCACTGGCAATAAATTTATCTTTTGGAGTCTTAACTGGGGCAGGAATCTGGCCTGGAGGGTGGTTTTAGTCGCAGGGGAGAGTAGGTGTCCCATCCTTGCAGTCCTGGGCATTGGACACTGGATCCTCACCCAGGGTGGAGCAGGACAGCACGGCTGGTTTCAGTGCTGCTGGGCCAATTTACATCGCTCCAGCAAGACCCTAAAGCCTGGCTGGTGTCAACCCAAAGCAGTCCCATAGCCACATGAATTGCCACCATTTCAGGGTTTGGCCCTTGAGTCCTATCAGCTTTTTTCTGCTCTGTTTTTTCTCTTCATAAGAAAGAGGAAAAATCAAACCTCTCCTTTTTTACTCCTTTATTCCAGTCTCGCTTCGTTCCCATGTTCCAGCCTCAATTTTTCAGACACCTCCTGAGGCTGGAGGATAAGTAATTGCTCTTTGGTGGCTCATCTACCCCTAGCATCTGGGTGACTGCTTTCCCTCCCCACCGAATGACCAGCTGCCAAGCCACAGTGGGGCCAGGGCAAAGCCCCTCGCTCACAGGCCTGGTGCCGGGGGGCTCTGGCCCTGCATTCCCCGCCCACGTGAATCCCTGCCGTTCCTGCGTTAGGCAAGGTCCCAGATGTCTGTATTCAAGGTGCAGATTCCTCCCTGCGTCAGTGCGGCGCTCCGCACGGTTCAGGCTGCAACGGTGGAGTGAACCATGCCAAATAGATTTGTCAAGTCTGCCGCAGCTTGATTTGGTGCCATGAGGAGCGGGGAGGGAAGGGAGGGGGTGGACAGACAGGGACTCTCTATTCCTCTATATACATGCAGATATATATGTATATATATATACACATATATATATACAGACATACATATATATATATGCACATGCACACATAGGCATATGGGGTGTATCAAACACTGCTCTGAATTTCTGCCAGCTGTGTGGGCCAAAAGCAAAGCTCTGCCATGTTATAGGCGGGTCAGCTAACATTTTACATCTTCATCAGGGAACTCAAGCAAGAGAAAACCAGTGAGTGCAGGAGGGGTGGAGAGAGGATGGCGCTCTCTGTGGAGGATGGGGAGCTCTGACCTCCTCTCTTTTGCCCCCCCGCTTCCCCTCCCTCGGGTGTTTTGGAGGAGAGTGGGGCCAGGGTGTTTCCCTGTGAAACGTGATGGCTCACCTTTGAGTCCCCAGCCGCTCGCACTCATGGCAAGGGAAACAGGAGAGGCTTTCCCCCTGCCTGGCAGCCCGCTCCCCCCAAAGCCCAGCCCAGCACACCCCGTGCATTCCCCTGTCCAGGGGGTGATGCTCTGTCCTTGCCTCGGGCATGAGACCGGGGGGAGAGGCTAACCCAGCAACCTGGCTGAAGGTGCAGAGCTGTCTTCTGTGTGTCCCCTGAAAGAGTAGACAGGGAGGAGAGTGGCCACCACCATGTGTTGCCCCACACTCGCCCCTCACTACCTACCAGTGCATTCCCATGGGACAGGGCCGAACACCCCTGCCCCAGAAAGGCTGCTCTGGCTCTTGCCCTCCCTGTTGCATCTCCCTCTGTGTCATCCGTGGTCAATGGCCCCAGAGGTTATCTTCCAGGCACTGACCCTGGTGTGTGCACCGAGATCTTATCTAGCAGTTTGCAAATGTCTTTAGAAAACAATAACTCATTCTTGAACCCAAGGAAGGAAAAGAGCACCTAGCAGGATTTGACCTTTTTTTTTGGCCATTTTCTTTGACGGATTCAACTATGAGGATTTTATTGGAAAACAAAGTGCTCATCCATTCCGATCCACTTCTTTCTTTATAGGGTCTTGGGTTCCAGCTCCTGTGTGGTCTCAGCCACTCCGTCTTAGTAACTGTGGAGATCAGCTCATGGGGATCATCTAGTGTGGTGAGGGACTGGGGGACAGGATAGGTTTCAGGATTCAGGGTGGGTTGGGAATGTGATGGGTGCTCTCACTGCCTCCATTGCTCTGTGTGTAAAATGGGAGGATGCAACTGAAACATTTGCTTTGAGAACCTCTAGAAGTCAATGGATGAGAAATGGCAGCAAGATCCAGCTGATGTGCATTTTCCATTTCCTATTCATTGTGACGGCTTTGTGCTTGTTATCAGCTAACCTTCCTGGGTGGTATTTCAGGTGGATGCAAGAAGGCAGGTTGAATTACTGCAGTGGATGCAAGAAGGCAGGTTGAATTACTGCAAAGAGCCAAATATCTCAGCTGTGCATAGAGCTGGGGATGTCAGTGGTGTTTGGTGCTGGCAGGGAATATTGAGGATGACTCTTTGGAGACCCTTGTGCCTTCCCTTAGGGCATTTCTCTGTCCTTTCAGTTCTTAATGAGGTCTCCTGTGTTCATTCACCTGGGGGGGGGAGAAAAAAAGCTTTCAGTCCTGTGGCTTCTTTATCTGGAAAACTCGGGAAAAGCTTGTGTAATCAGCCAGAAGGCCGCAAGCACTTCTGCACAGACACATCATGGTGCAGAGGGTTTGCCCAGAAGCATCCCCAGGTCCCAGCCTGCTTCTGCTGCTTTCACAGGCAGGACAAAGACGTCAGGCTTTGGGAAAGGCAGCCCTGTGCATTCACCCTTGGTGCAGTACCAGGGGAGAATTACAGCCCTGGCTTTCCTAGCAAGGCTGCAGCTTTGTACTTCTGGACCTGATATCTCCTTTGCAGGCTAACAGAGTGCCACTCCTTGTGTCCCTGGTGACTCCCAGATCTGAGTGGAGCCTCTCAAAGACACAGTGCTGGCAAGCCCAGCCCAGCATGCTGTGCCTTGCCCAGACGGCTGTGCTTTGTTGAGTGTTGCCAAGTATCATTTTTCTTTTACCTCCTTGTTCCTGGATTTAATAAATCCAGAACTATCCACCCTCCACTTGAGCCAGAATCCTCCCACCATCAAACATGCCCCATTTTATGCCTTCCCTATCTGACAAGGCAAATAATCTCCCCTACTTTTCTCCTTCATGCTTCTCTGTCTCAATCCTGAAGCCTTAATCCTGTTAGCATGCTCTGTTCCAGGGCTCTGTCTCCACAGGAGTAACATAATCCTGCAGTAAATCCAGTGGGTCCAGAGAGACACATACATACGGATGACGGCAGGGCTGCTGCCATCCTTGGCCTTCTCCTCTGCCTCCCCCAGCCACTTTCTTTAGCTCCCCAAGAAATTGCATAGTGGCCAAGCAGCACAATAAATAATGAGGGAGAGAGGTTACCTCCTGCCCCCTCCCTGACTCGCTGCCTCTTTGACTTCACGGCACTTTTTGTCTCCCTGTCCTTCACTCCCTTCACTCCAAACTCTGCCGTTGGCACAATTCCCATACCCACTGGAACTAATGCAGCTTCGGAAATCCCCCCATCACCCCCACAGCGGTTCCAATGTTTCAGAAATACAACTTGTAAGTGTTGGTGTGGAGCCTGCATGTGCGTGCACATGGAAAACTTGCCCAATCCTCCTGTAGCCTAGACATCATCTCCCACCACTTGCTTTCTGCAGCAAATTAATTAAGCAGGTCAGCTCTCATTGATTATCAATTTAATTTTACATGTAGACCTGCCGACTGGACTAAAACGGAAGTAAACATAAAGTATATGGGGAGGGGATGGGCAGCTTCTTGATGCAGCAGTGAAAATGAGTTCCCTTGACTGCTTCTTGGAAGGTGCTTTTAATTTGTTAATGGTTTTCCCATTCGTCTTCTGGCTCCGTCACCCTTCAGCGCGTGTGCGTGCGCATGCGCACGTGTGCTCTCTGCTGAGTGTGTATCTATCTATCTTCCTAGATCACAGCCAGAATTTTTTTTTCTGCTGGTGTAAATTACTGTGACTTCTTATACTTCGATGGTGATATGTTGATTTACACCATTTGAAGACTTGGCTCAAAATATGTGCTGAGTGGGATGAGAAGCAGATAGGATGGGAGGAATAGCAATGTTCTATTTTGGTAAGGGGGAAGAAATCTTTGCTTTCTTGGCGCTCCCAATTTCACACATTTTCCTGCTAGTTCTTCCCATGCCATGAGTGCTAATTTGAGGCAGGATGTAGAGCCTGTTCAAGTCAATGGGACCCTCTCCATGGTGCACTCGGGCTGTGGGGTCAGCATTTTCAGTGCAGAGAAACCATATGCTCAGGGTCAGACCCTGGTCAGCAGCGTCGGGACCTGTGGGCTCATGATGCATTTCCACTTGGGAAGGAGGCTGAAAGGCCAGGCACATGGGAGGACCCTGCTTCTCTAACGGCACTAAGCACCTGCCCTCTGAAGACAGCCCCTTTCTGTTATGCTGAACAGGGTGCGAAGCAACGACTTGCTAGTTGGGGGTTTTCAGAAACAAGGTTCACTGAGGCAGACCCTGCCAATGTGTCTGATACTAGAGCTGGAAGTCAGGTGCCGTTTCTGCCCTCGTAAACTGGCAGGCCGGGGTGTCAAGGCCCCGATTCAGAGTTACGTAGCTTGTTGAATGTGATCTAGTCTGAGGAAATCACTGGGCCCCAAATCTAAAGCAGAATTGAGGTTGCTATCGTTGGAAGCAGGTGGTTGGGACTAAGGTCATGTAAGAGACGCTTTCAGCAATGCATGTGGTAGTGATAAAGTTTTTGGGCTCAGTCCTGCTTCTGCTTTCTGACAAGCTTGACTTTGCAGAAGTCAGCAACAAATTACGCTGGTGTAAATTTGGATTCTGGCCCCTGATGCTCGTATGTGCGAAGTGAGCTAAAAAAGAACAAAACTGGAAATATGCTAAACCAAAAAGAGCAGCAAACCTCGTCAGTGACTGTTAAACATGCTGGTCCATATGCAACCTTTGGCTCATGGAGTCTTCAAACTGCTGATAGTGGGAAGCGAAGAGAGGTTGCCAGGAGAAGACTCCCCCGGACTTGCTGCCCCTGGGCATCTGCTGGGGCCACCATCAGGAGCCGCCCCTGGGACAGAGGGACCTTTGGGCTGACCTGACGTGCTGCTCCTCGTGCTAAAATAGTTGCACTGGCTCAGATAAACATTTCCTGTCCTCCGGTGTTAGGTTCAGAGGTAAGGTGTTGTGTGTCAGCTTCTGTGTTGACATAAAGCTGGAGGCTTTGCTGTGCTGTGGAAATGTATCCTTTCAGCCTGCGTGTGTGTGTTCCCTCAGGTTTACAAGACACACACACTCGCACGCCTGGAGAGTGTTTCACAGTAACCACTCTTCTTATAGCCCTCCTGCTGGAAAAAAGGGTATTTGGTGTCTGCTGAGCAAGGAAAAGGATGGGAAGTGGGGTCTGACAGGATAAAATAGGGTATTAAAAACACATAAACCATGCTGTGTTGCTAAACGATAGCAGCATGATATATATTTTCCAGATTAGCATTTCTGCTCAAGTTCACACCAACCCAAATCCCAATTACCAGCCAGATTTGCAACCAAGACCCTCTGTGGGGTGGCTGGTCTCTGCCCTGGCAGGAGTGCCGCCATCCCGGGCTGGACGGTGATGCGCAGGGGCAGCGCAGAGCTGGTTGTGGTGCTGCAAACACCCGCTGTCCCTCTCTGCAAACACCCTCCAGGCAACCTGGCGTGCTGGATCCTGGGAGAAGAGCAGTAACATATGCTGTCTGCAGACCTAGAGCGGTGGGAGGTTTACAAAATGCTGCTTAACCTCGCTATTCAAGGCAAGAGGCCAGGATACAGCCTCACCCCTTTTTTCTGTCCCAGATAACAGGGATCTGCAGTTGAATTGTTTGACTCTTGCCTCCGACAGAAGGAGATCGGTGCCAGAGATTACACTCTCCTGCTTCGCTCTGAGATAAACTTAGCGGGAGCTCCTGTGCTTAGCACGGCATATGCAGAGTAGGAGCCTGCAGAAGAGCCCAGCCAACATCTCAGTGTGGATGCGGCTCCTGGCTGAGGTCGGAGGATACTCTAGCCCTGTCCTGAGAGCCTGCATGTTTGGAGGGAAAGCGGACAATACCTGCAGCCTCAGTCTGTGACCTTTAGTGCTTTATGCCGGGGGCAAAGAAAGGGTTGAAAATTACCCTCAGGTTGGGTGTTTCCTCTTCCCCTCTCTTCTTCCCTGCTATGGCTTCGCAGCCTGAAACAGAAACACAAGTATCCAATCCTTGTCCGGCCTATTAAAATAATGGGCAGGAGGGGTGGATCTAACATCCATCTGGTAGTTATTGATTATGGCCATCTGGTGAGGCAGCAGGTTTTTTGTATCATGTCAGACCATAAACTCTCCCGAAAAGCTGTCTCTGGGTGGCGGGCTGCATGTGTGCTGGAGAGGCAGGGGTGAGGGGCTGGCTGGGACGGCGGCTTGTCACCCCAGGCAGAGGCAGCATCCTCCCTGCTCGTGTTGCTGCTTGCACACCGATGTTCCCCGGTGGAGCTCAGTGCGAGGATATGTCAGGATGTCAGCCCGTTTACCCGTTTAGATCCACCCGTTTACAGAGGGGAAGCAAGATCTCACACAGCATTCAGGGACATCTGGCTTTTTGCATTGGAGTGGCTCTGGGTTTGGGGGCGAGCTCGAAGCAGCTGTGGCCTGATAGTCCAAGGTGCTTTGGGGTGCCGTGAGAGGCAGCGGGGCAGCAAGCTCCTGGGTCTCCTGCCTGATGGGTGAGTCCATCCACTGTGCTGTCCTGCCAGTGGCACAGCTCTCCCTGCCTGCCCCTGGGTGCTTGCCCTGGCTGGAGGCTGGCCCTGCCCAGAAAGCCTCTCCTCGGTTTTCCCTGCTGAGATTATTTCAACTGCTGGTCTGGTTATTTCTTTCTGCCTGGAGAGGACGTAACCATATTTGTGCCCCCTCTCCCTTGCAGACATTTCAGGCCAACGAGGATGCCACAGAGGTGGTTCTCAACAAGATCCACAGCCCAGTGCTCACACGCTTCGTGCGCATCCGTCCCCAGAGCTGGCACAACGGCATTGCCCTGAGGCTGGAGCTGTATGGCTGCCGCATCACCGGTGAGGGTTCCCTCCTCCCCTCGGCCTCAGCCCTCCTCTCTGTCCCTCTGACCACCTGTCCTGGGGTGCTGTGCCACTCAGCTGCTATGGCTGATTGGGGTGGGAACGGTGACACTGTGAGCAGCATGGAGGCACCCGTCCCAAGGGATGCGCTTGCAGGGACAAGCACCCAGGCCCCAGAGGCAAGGGGGAAGCGCCCAGTGCTGGTGCTGGTTTAGTGCCCAGAGCTTAAACCTGTGGGGAAAACCACAAATGCTCCCTTCAACCACCCCAGCTCTTCATGCCCTTTCCTTCCCTGCAGATTCGCCCTGCTCCAACTTGCTGGGAATGCTTTCCGGCCTCATCCCTGACTCACAGATCTCAGCCTCTTCCATCAGAGGCTACGACTGGTCTCCCAGCATGGCCCGCTTGGTGAGCAGCCGCTCAGGCTGGTTTCCCCGCGTCCCCCAAGCCCAGCCTGGGGAGGAGTGGCTGCAGGTGGACCTTGGTGTGCCAAAGAATATCAAAGGCGTCATTATCCAGGGGGCTCGCGGAGGGGACAGCGTGACCACCACTGAGTCCCGCTCCTTCGTGAAGAAGTTTAAGGTGTCCTACAGCATGAATGGAAAGGACTGGGACTTCATCCAGGACCCCAAAACAATGCAACCCAAGGTAGGCACGGCCTGGAGCAGCTGCAAAACAAGATATGTTTCTGGCTATCTTTAGTCTGCCTGATGGGTTCTTGGGAAATTAGCTGTCTCTCCCCACAGAGACCTTGGGAGTGTGTCCTCTGGTCCTGCTCCTAAGCTGTACTAGAGGCTGTAGGTTCCACCTTGCCCCAGGGATGGCAATTTCCCTTCATTTCTTATTGTGGACCAGGCCTGGGGATGTGGACATCACCTTCTGATCCTCTCAGCTCCTGCAGGTCAGAGCCCACAAGATGGTGTGTTCGATGATGTTTGACACAAACTGATTACGTATTTTAAGGGGAAAGATGTTGCTGTTGTGGCTTGCACCTCTGGAAGAGAAAGCTGAATCACAACTTCTCTTTGGGAAATTTGCTATATCTGAAGTCCCTTTTACCATACTGGCGTGACTCTGAAATTCCCCGTGTTTTTCCCATATTGTTGGGAGTTCCCCATCATCTTTGTGCTTAGCAGTATGGGAGTGGCAGGGGGCTTGAGAAATAAATGAATTCTCTGCTACTGCCTGTTCTGTTTTTATGCAAACTCATCTGCTTCTGAAAATTTGAGTAAGTTTTAATTTTTTCTGATCCTACAAATGAGCCTTAGAAGGCCTGATGCTATCTATAGCCCTCTGTTTATTCCCCACAGACTTGAGTTCGTGCACGTAAGATGAAAAGCAGCAGTACTTGGACTGTGAGGAAAACTGAGCGTTGACACTATCCGAGAACATGCAGTAGCTTCTTTATTTGCCAAAGGACAAATCTGATCTTATTTATATGTGAAGTTAGTGGATGTTCCCCAGGCTTCCCCTGCATGGCTTGGATCAGAATCTGACCCCTGGATATAAAGCAGAGACCAAGAGAGATTGTGCAAGTTTCTTAGAAACAGCCTGTCTGGTCCTCTTGAAACTGAGGAGGAACCACCCAGTTTCTGCTCAGCTGGACTCGATGGCCCAGAGTCGGACAGCTAAACTATTTCAAACTGTGGCTGCATCCTGCCAGACACAAATTATCAAGTCTGGTGGAGAGCATGTGGGATGCACACATCACTTGCCTTTTTTTTCCATTGTCTCTCTCTCTCTGTAGCTTTTTGAAGGTAACATCCACTACGATATCCCTGAAGTCCGGAGGTTTGACCCTGTTCCTGCCCAGTATGTCCGAGTAGCAGGAATAGGAATGCGCCTGGAGGTCCTGGGCTGCAACTGGACAGGTAGGAGCCCCTGCATCTCTGTCCACTAGCTCCATCGGGGCCACGTTAGGCACTAAACTAGCCAGGTGCAAGTGTAAGGTTATTTCTCTCCCTGCTGTCCCACCTCAGGGCCATGCCATGGCAGGGAGACTGCAGCCATGAAGACAGGACCTGCAGTGTGGCCTGACCCCATCCTTTTGCTTCCACCTTAAAAAGAACTGGCCTTGATGCAGGATGTAGCAGCAATGTTTGGACCTTAATCCAAGCTTTCACACAGAGCCCCATGCGGGATTTGTCCCCAACTCCCTTCTCCCTCCTTTCAGATCTTTTATCTGGATGTTGTGCAGGCTTTCCCAGTCTCTGTGTTAGATAACATTTGGGCTTTTTAATCCAAATGGATAAGACAAAAAGTAGGAAGAGAAGCAGAGGTGCAGAAGAGGGGTGCAGTGACCAATACAGGTATCCCGAGCTGCCACCATAAGGTTTGCTGTGAAAACAACTGTCCCTCTCTCATCGAACCCCATGTGGAAATCCTTTTGCAGACAAGGTTGGCGATTTAACTCTACGACGTCTCTACAACATCCCTAAGACCATGGAAGTCTGTTCACTTTTGCCCACCTGTTTTTCACAAGTGGTATGCCTTGCAGCCACCATTGTTTTTAATACAGAGGTGAAAACTGTCTAAAACACTCACTGGGATCAGTAGAGATTGTGCTTCTGACCCTCTGAGGCTCAATGGTGATTGATTGCTCCATAGTTTCATCCCCAAAAACCAAAAATGCACCCAACAGCTCATTGGTTCTGAGGCTAGCTTTTCAGTGCCAAGGGCTAGTTGTCCCTTTTTTAATCTATTTTATTTTTTAATAATCTGCTTAAATCTGAATCTGGTGTCCAGATGTCAGTGATAAAGAGGTATGATTTCCATTTTATAAACACATCTGTAGAAGGCATTTTCTTGTAAGAATTCCCATTCTAGGAAGCTTAAAAGACACAGACTTTTTTCCACCCTTTTGTGGAGTCTTTACTACCCTTTCCTCTTGTGATGTGCTGTGAGATGCATTACAAACACTTAACAGCAAATCACACAACACACGTACACACAATTAATAATGATCATTTGTCACCTTTGAAGTCAATGGCAAGTCTCCCTCTGGACTGGGAATCTGTTGTAAATGATCTAAACTTTAAATCAAGATTAGATCTTAATTTAAATCTTACAACATCTTTGGGATGTTTTACGAAAAGCAGGCACCATGGCTTTCATGCAAGCAGCAGGAGCTGAGGCTCCATGCAGAAGTGATCAGGCAGCTCCCACATTGCTGCTTCCTGCAGCTCCAGGGAGTCTCCAGCTGCCAGGTCTCTGCAGACCATTGCTGGCCCGTGCATCACAGGACTGCATCACTGCTGCAAAGGGAGGCAGTCGCACAAGACCTCTGGCCATGTACATGTCAGTCCCTCCATTGCACTCCTCCAAATTAGAGAATAAGAGGGGTTTGGCATCCTCAACTTCTTGTGCTATTTTTGGTCCAAAGTTTCTTTTACAGCTGTGTCCGCACTCAGTTTCAATATCAGCAGCAACAGCCCATGTTTTTTCCAGGCAGGGTGCTTTATGGTCATTTCCCAGTGTGGCTGTCTAATCATTTGCACATTGTAATGTTTAAAACTCAACTGCCAAGTCATAAATATTTGTAGCTTTATTGATCTACAGGCATTCAGCTTTGTAATCAGAGCAGGGCTTGTAATCTTGTGGATTCACCATGTTATAAAAAGCATTTACATCCGTGGTGCAACCTGGGGAGCAGAGATAGCCCATGGCATTATCTGCATGCTAAATCCAGGCTGGCTACATGCAGCAGTCCTTGACAATGCCAAGATACACCCCTCCTTTGCTGGGGGGACCCAGGCACGTTACAGAACTGGCTGCAAAAACCCAGGCAATTGCACTTGCTTGGGAACAAGATTAAGAGATGGATTAAAACAAGCTGATTGAAAATATTTTCAAGTGAGGGCCTAAGCCCGTGTATACCCTGCCCAGCTGTTTCTATTTCTTATCAGCAATGAGCATCTTAATTACTCAGTCAAACAGGTAACTTAACAGCAACTGGGCTCACAAACTAGTTGGCTAGTAGCTCAAAAATTGGGAAGCGGGCAGTCAGCAATTGGCTTCTTTCAAAGACCTGCCAAAATTTTTCCTCTGAAGACTGGAGATTGATGAATGTTCATTTGCAGCTGGTTTTCTCTCCTTTGAAGTTCGAAACATCTGGTTTCAATTGCTCAGTGACTTTGCATTTTGATCAGCAGTTACCACCAGTTGCATAGACACTTGCTGGGCCAGGCAGAGAGAAAGCGAGCAAGCAAGACCTCTCTTTTTCACTTTCCATTTCACACATCACGTTGTCCTCCCTGCTATTTTCATTATCCCCTGTAACCATCGTGTTGCGGCTCTGCCATGGTAACTGATTTTTCAAGATATATTTCTGCGGCTTGTCCAGGGCAATGCAACACTCTTGATTTACATCCGCTCAGCATCTGTGTCCCGTATGGGACTTGCCTTTCAAGGTCCTTCCACATTGTCACATCTCAGCTATAAATCTCAATATACAAGAACAACAACCTAAAAAAAATGTACCAGCTCTAAATAACTTGCAGCTTTTGATATGTTGCCTTCACCTGCTGCTTTTTTTTTTCCCTTTTCTTTTTTATGACATTTTTCTGTGCCTGGCTGCTTGCAATTTGCTTCTTGGTTGCGTTTGGAGTTTTATGGGGTTGTAACAAATTTGAACTTACAAATTAAAAGACTTTGAGGTTATTTGGTATTTTATCCTGAACAAAAGACAGCCACTGGAAAAAAAAAGTAAAAAAACCCTGAGAGTTTATGTGCAACATGTTTAATAACAGGAAAATAAAAGGGCAGAAAGGAGCCTATGGAAAGTATTCAATGTATTTAGCCATTTCCTCCTGCTTCTGGCTTTATTAAATGATATCCTGAAGGGTGCCGACAAAGAAACACAATTACACATAAGTGAGCAAAGCAGCCTCTTTTTAAAAGTGGAAAGAATCAAGCCTGCTGTACTCCAGTTAATGCCCCCATAAAAGGAGAGACTGTTGGAACCTAATGTCGTTTACTGTTGATCCTAATATTTTTCCCTTTCTTGCTTAAATTTCCCCTGACACCTGCTTGAAGGTTGTTTCACATGGGCCATGTTGGAGAGAGGGAAATTGGACAGAGCCCCTTTGAAAGTGTAGTCAGGAGCCTGGAGTGCGAAACCAGATGCTTTCTGCCGCAAGCCAGAGCACACTAGGGGATCCGCTGGGTCCGTTTGCGGTTACGTCATTTGTGGGTTTGAGTGACTTGTTTTATAAATTGGCACAATTGGTGGGAATGTTGTGTGTGTTTTTTTAACGTGTCATATGCCTTTATGAAAGAAAAAGACATTCTGCCTGTGATCTTTCTTATCCAGTAATGACAGCTAAGCGGATTGCCAACACCAGTGTAGATTAAAAAAATAAGAGAAAAAGTAGCATGTATGTCTAGAGGAGAGCCTTGTCCAATGGGAACTCTAAATCAAAGGAACTCCCATATGGAAACAGCCAGTTCACTTGAAGTTCAAACGATGCTGACATTTGTAGCACGTGGAAATTTCATGGTATTCTTGTTCTGTCTCTTCCTGCCGTTATAAGAACATGAGAAAAAGATTTTTTGCCTTGTTTCCTCATACCTGGGCTTTTTGGACTGTCTGTTGCAAATAGCATCTCTGCTCCGTTTTTTCCAGATGTAAAGCCCACTGCAGAGACACTGGTGCCCACTTTGAAGAGTGAAGAGACCACCACCCCATACCCAACTGATGAAGAGGCAACCGAGTGTGGTGATAGCTGTGGAGAAGAGGAGGGTATGTATCAGAGCAGCACATCTTTATCTCAATAAATGATGGGTTAAGAGCTAAGCAAATACTCTTATCTTCCCATTAGCTCCTATACACGGGGCTGATTCCTGGAAAGCTTAGAGTAATATTGTTAGTGATAGGCCAAGATAAAAAAAAAGACAAACAAAACCTGCCAAAATCTGATCAGTTATATCAAGGAAGGATGCAAGAGCAAGAGATAGCAGCTAATTCATGCGGTTCTCCCAGCTTCCTTATGTGACCTGAAGAAACTCACTTAGTGCCCTGTTTAGAGCCACCTCCGTTCCAGATCCCCTTGTTGGGGTGTCGTAAATTCAGAATGTGATTCAGGGGAGAGATTCAGACTGCCTGGTATGCAAGGCTCCTTTTGCAGAGGTCACAACTGTAGGAGTAAATCACAACATGTAGAGAAGGCTGATGTCTTGAACACCTATCTGTTAAGGATCATCTTCCCTAATATCAGCTGCTTAAAATTTAGCAGAACAGTCTGGGCTCCTTGTGCAGGCAGCAGAGAGAGGGAAACACTAACTCCAGGCAGAAGTTTGTCCCCCCAGTCTTAGATGGCTGTCAGATGTACAGGGAACGGTTTGGTATCTGTGGCGTTTGCCTGCCTCTTCTGACTATAGAAGAGGCTGAATGTTAGTTTAGACTACATGCTGTGCTTGTTAAGAGCCAATGCTGGAGGGGACTAATCTTCTCTGCCTCAGATCCCTAACCTGTAAAAGCAGATGTCATATTCTTCTGCTTCTTGCAAGGGGGATGTGTGCTCCTTGCAAGGGGGATGTGAGCATCTAAAGCTTGTGAAATGTCCACATCAAGGGGAGAGGGCATGGCAGAGCTGTGCAGGGTTAGCTGTACAGTGCAGTGTGCAGGAGGTGCACGCCCCTGGGCACGACAGCAGAGCCTGGGCCTCAGTACTGGGGCTGGGGCATTTACACGAGGACTTCAATGAGAAATCTCATGAGGAAAAGCTATCTTTTGAGATAGCTGCTAGGACTTCTGTCACTTCAGCTTCCAGTCCCAGAGAAAAAATTAATGGGTTTTAAAATAAATAAATTAAAAAAAGAACATTAATTGGTTTTTTCACACCTCCCTTTGGGATTCTGCTGTAGTTCAGTTCTGGAAATGCAAGTTGCAGAAGTAGCTCAGAGGGCCTGATTCTCATTGCTTTGCCTCAGTAATAAGCCTGTGCAACCCTGCTACCATTGAGGCACTTGGGAAGCTGCCGAGAGGAAATTTAGGCCAGTAATAGCCTCTGCAACAACATGATTCCTGGGTGCAGTCCAGGGCAAGAGAGCGAGCAGAGTATGCCGTGGAGCGTGGAACCAGCCTCCCCGTCAGCTTCTCTCAGATTTAGCAACAATTTTCATTCTCATACTCCATAAACAATGAGTGTGTTTCTCTGGACAATCAGATTTATGACAGCCAAACAGAAACAATGCTGCTCTCCAGGGTATGAGATTAGAGTGGAATAAAAGGATCCATGATCTGTATTGTTTTATTTCTAAGTGGGAGCATGTAAAGAAAGCCCTCTGCCCCTCGCAGCAAAGTTCCCCTGATGCCTATCGCTTGAGTCACTCACCTCCTTCTGGCTATCGCTCACTTTGTGAGCGCTGTGATTTAAAACTTCCTCTTTGCTCAGGAAAAACCCGGTCTATAATTGGGCTCTGATGTGCGTGTCCGCTGAGTGCTTGGGATGGTCTCAGACCATTTCTGCAGCCTCCATGCCTTATGGCTGTTTCCCTGACTGAAGGAGCCAGCAGCTGCCTCTCTGCTACATGCAGCCCCTGGCATGTGCCCTCCTGCCCACAGACCTGTCTCTGCAGGAAGGCTCTCCAGAGCTTTTAAAGCTGTTGACACAGGGGAATTAGCTCTGCTCTGGTTTCACAGATGAAAAGTTAAATGACTCGCCCAAAGACCATGTGGTGAGTCCATAGTGGAGCTAGAAATAGAGGCTGGCTCCTTTTAATCAGAATCCAAAAGCTTGAGCTCATGGTGGCCCCACATTTCCCCTGGTAGCATTTCCATGAGAAGGTAGGAAGCAGTGAGTGACAGCTCGCCACATTGACAGACAACTCCCGTCTGGTGCAAGTGGCTAGATCTGTCACTCAAGAGCTGGGTTTCTGGAGCACTTGAGATTCTCCTTTTGGAGCCAGAGCAGGAACTGATGAGCGCAGGGCACTCAGGAAGCGCTCTTCCCTGACATTTAAGAAGGCATTTAATATTTGACCGCTCTAGGGGATGAAGAGAAGGTGCTGATTAGAGTCTGGAAGCATTTGGTACTTGCTTTTATATTTGCTTAGTTTGGTGGATTAGCCGCAGGACGTGGTGTGAGCATTTTGATGATGCACAACTTAAGGCTGATCCCTGGAGCTGACGAAATGTGAGATAGGTTAAAAGCTTCAGTGTGAGTGAGATTTCATGCTTTCTTCAGTATTTATGGCTTGCCAGCTATTTTAGTTTTGGGTTGTTTTTCAATAGCAACCCTTCATGGGTAGGTCATTTTTTAATCCAACTTTATTTTGCTTCTATTTCTTTTTATAAGATTTCCACCTCCCTGCAAACTTCAACTGCAACTTTGATCTCCCTGAAGACCTCTGTGGTTGGTCACACGACTTGGCAACAGGTTATACGTGGTCTTTTCCACCTACAAGCACCTGGATTGGCAACTCTGAACCAAGCCCTGAGACCGTGCCTGGTAAGATGGTTAATACCATACCAAAGCAGGGAAAAGGGAGCTGATGGGGCTTTCTCCATGTGAACAGTATGACTGATTATTGCACAGCTATCAAGAGTTGTGAAGGCTGTGCAGAGATGGATGTTTTCTTTTGTGGAAGCTTTCAGATGCTTTGCTGTATGGTTCATGACTTATTTATAGGACTGTGACCGCTGGCACTGAATTATACTAACTATCCTCTTGAGATAGCCTTGAATCAGACACTGGGCTTTGAATCCCCTGTGACTGTGAAGGTTAGCCCAGGCTTTGTTTCACATCCTGATCCAAATGTCCTCTGTAGGACCCAATGCTTTTTCCCCAGAATGCATTTCCTCTTTTGTTAGAGATGCATTTCTTCCTCCCATATGTTGCTCAGATTGCCTATAGTCTTCAGCTATTCTGCACTCTGGGCTTGCATAGGCTGGATTTCAGCCTCCTCCAAGTGAAGGATGAGCTAAGCCCTAAGAATGTTGAAATATGCCAGCTTCTTGCTGTTTGACTTTTGCTCTTCTTCTCTTCTGTGCTTTGGAAGCAGAAGATTTGCATGAGCGTGGCAGAGCCTAATTTATGGAGGACCTCGCTGAGATATGCTGGCATGGGTTGGAAGGGAGCCTGCCTCTGGCAGTATGGTTGATAGATCAAGTTCTTCAGCTTCACATCTTGGAACTCGCCCCGGGACTAGTGCCCTTTCCATACCCTCATTGACTTTGTGGCACGGGTGGCACGAAGAACATTTGCCAGTTTCCTTATAACAGTAGATTGCGTCACCATAGCATCACTTCTCTTCACTGTCAGTCATTGCTTATGAAACTCAAGGCTCCCCCAGGGAGAGCTGGCTGATCTTACTTGTCTTCAGCGCTGCCTTGATGCCCAGTGACTACAGTATCTGCATGCCATGCACCCAGGGAGCTGTGGATGCTGTGGGCTCCTCCCTGCCCTCCCCCCCGGTAAGGTTGAGTCTCGAGATGCAAACATTCAGGCGAACCTGTTAGCCACCTGGCAGAGGCACTGGCCAGATTGGCAGTGCCGCCAGCCAGTTGGAAAGCCGTGCAGCCAACACCTGGTAGGCAGTGCTAAAGAGGAAAATATGTATTCCAGAAACATATGGGAAGAGGAGAATCTGCTACATCTCCACACACAAATCACCCCCACACAAATGCACACATCATTTCTCTCTTCAGCTCCTGAGGTGCTCGGCATTTTTCTAAGAGACATGGTAATGCTGTAAGTGCAGCCTATATGGACATCTGACAAATTCTTTGGCGTGACATAGGGTCACAGTGTCTGCTATGGAGAAAAACATTTTCATATTTCAAGTGTTTATCTCTTCAGCATTTGAGTGCTTTAGAAGATTAATATCTGGAGCTCAGTGGAGCCTCAGGCAACAGGAGAGAACACTTACAGCCAGCCCCAGACTTAATAACCCTCCCCATCTCATTCACTGTAATAATGTTTAATTAATATAAGCCTCCTGCAAGTAGGATAAAAATTACTTATTTTTATAACTCAGACTCAATTTTTCATTTCATTTCCTCTCCCCCGAGTCTCCCTACAATTAGTTGGCCATAGTTTGTTAGAAGACTCTCTTGTATGTGCGCATGCGTGTGTGCGCGTGTGCACAGCCTGGGAGAGGCTGGTGCTGCCTCAGACAGCGCAGCGCGCGGTTCTGGTTTTTACCCTTCTTCTACCCTTTCTTCTCTTTCTTAGTTAGTTATGAACTGCAAAACCTCATCGCTGCGGCCAGGGGAATGTTTTCCTACTGAGTTCAGTGATCTGGTTTTGTGCCAGTGTGGAGAGCTCTCCCTTACAGTGCTGTGCTGAGCCAGGCACCCAAGCACCGACGAGGTGCAGGCAGGCACGCAGGCCCGGCCCGGCAAGTCATGGGCTGTACAGGCAGAGGAAGAGGAGGAGGCAGCAGTTCCAGGGGGCTGAAGTGACTTGCCCACAGCAGTGGAGGAAGTCAGCAGCAGACACCAGGCACAGGCTGAAGAACGGTTGTTGGTGCTGCCATGGGATCAGCCTCCTGGCTGGGGCAGG